CGGAAATCGGCCGACTTTGATGAATCGGAACATCCCTATTTGTAATTATTATTTCTGATTCTTCTAATGGGTCACTCTGAGTGTTTCATGCAGGTTGAACATGAAACTACAGATGGGCCATTTTTATGGACACACCTTAATAAAACGGGAATGGTTGTTGATATTAGCGTCCTGTTTGTGGCACATTAATATATGTGAGGGGCAAACTTTTCAAGATGGCTGGTGACCATGGTGGCCATTTTGAAGTTGGCCATCTTGGATCCAACTTTTGTTTTTTCAATAGGAAGAGGGTCATGTGACACATCAAACTTATTGAGAATTTCACAAGAAAAACAATGGTGTGCTTGGTTTGAACGTAACTTTATTCTTTCATGAGTTATTTATAAGTTTCTCTTTGTTCACACCCTGTAGTACACCTATCTCCTGCATTAGCTTCTGATAGAAAACAAATGGTGAAACTCTAGGATTAGAAAATCCTGACAGATCTACGTCACACTGTCACTAACATTCATGGACTCACCCATCTTGACTCACGACGGGGAAGGCCGTTGTTGGTTTAGCGTCCAGGAAACAGCAGAGAACGTCTCGGCTTGTAGAAGCTACATAGGCAGCCCCCCTCCTGGACCGGACCTTTAAAAACAAGGAGACTGCCCTACTGCAAGCCCCAATTACTCCAAAAGCACCCCCCACCCTCATCCCACCCACTCCCCAGACCAGCGCTCAACGTCATGGGATGTTGATCGAAATCAGCAAGATGAAAGCTTCTTCATTCTTTTACCGCATCCTGAAGATTGTCTAAGTTCTAGGATTCAACATTAAAGATCTTCTGACACATTTATTTTGTCATTCGGAGGTGGGTTTCTCAGAGGGAAGAGGATCATGAATGATCCAATTTCACATCAAACCACACTGACTCCCAGGGAGAGAACAGTTTAGAAACAACACAGACTCAAAAGCAGCCAACGAAGCAGGCAGAATGTTCAGGAAGGCTGTGCTGGAGGTCCTCAACATTCTAGTCCAACTCCTTCCTCCTGTTTAGCCCCCGTTTAACGCATTTAGGTGAGAACTGAGAAAGACGTGCACACGCTAAGCAAAGAGAGAGAGATTTGTTCATTTTTACAGAAGTCTCCTCGGTGAGAGTTCAAGTTACGGGTCTGTCTTCTCTGTGGAGAGACAACTTTTCATCAGACTGCTCAGGAAAGCCAGTGTCATTTCAGCGTCTCTGACTGTTGGAGCTGCTGTGTGCATGAGTGTCATCGCCTCAATCTCCATGGCAATGATGCCCCATTCAGCTAGGCACCTGCTGGGATAAGAGGTGGTGGAGGGGGAGGGACGAGATTCACTAAGCGAGTCAAATCAGGAGGGAAAAAACATCCCAAGGGCTCCTGCGTCCTCACCAGGTGTTGGTGTATTGAAAAGAATAAGACTTCCGAAGATCATTCAGCTCCATTTACCTTTTGGAAACACCTGTGGTGCAGCAGATGTCTCCATGGCAACTCATTTCAGACAGACACAGGGTTGTGCATCTGTTACTGCCAAGTAAACATTCAGCTAAAGAGGCACAAACAAAGCACAAACAAGACGGGTTGCTTCTGCTCGAGTCCAGAAGACGTCCCGGCTGTCCACCAGCTGTCCAGCAGGTGGACACCAGAAGGCACAGATGAAAAGACCAGAAGCACAGCGCTGGCTGCTTTTGCTGCTGGTCCAGATACTTATCCAATGGTAGGTTTAGGGATAGATGTTTATAGTAGGAGATGGTACAGTCCGACTGAAACAGTGTTTGTGTCATTAGCTGCATGGCTGCATAGTTGAGTGACTTTTAATCAAAAAGGTTGCTGGTTTGAATCCCAGCTGCAGCCTGTCTGTCTTTGTGGAGTTAGCATGTTCTCTCTAACCATTCATGGTCCATTCATCAACCCCAGGGTTGACCCATGACATCATCAAGGGTCAGAGCTCTGCGTGAAAATCATGGAACACAGACAAGTTCATGTTCAACAGCTCATCATTACAGCGGCTGACTCAGAAACCCTTTCAGAGGTTTAGAGGTATTCCTCACTAAATGTTCCTCATATCATCAGGAACGGGGGGTGGGGGGGTGGCGGGGGGGGGGGGGGGGGGGGGGGTACGTGACTGACAACCAAGAGGCAACAAACGCGTTTCTGTGTCTTCTATTGACCCGATGGGTTAGGGCCTGCAGAGTGCGAAAGAGGCGGAGAGGTTAAGACTTCAGCTACAACTCTTTGCAGCGTGCACACACACACACACACACACACACACACACACACACACACACACACACACACACATACAAATAGGCGCGCACACCTACATAAACACAAAACTATCTCATGTACTCTCGTGTTATCCCTCACCTTTATGTTTCTGTTTTTCTCTCCTGCCTCTCTTATCTGGATGAAGCCCCCCCCCCCCCCCCCCCCCCCCCCCCCGTATTCCTGGCCCCGCCTTTATCTGGATGCCGCTACGTGCATCAGGGCAGACAGCATCCCCATGTCAGGCCAATGATGAATTAGAATACTAAAATACTAGATGAAGCAGGCACTCAAATCATCTGGTGTGTGTGTGTGTGTGTGTGTGCGTGCGTGCATGCGTGTGTGTGTGATAGTGATAAAGAGAGGGAGAGAGAATGAGTGTGCACTTCAGTGTATGTAAATTTTGTGTGCAGTAATGGAACAATAAACCTGTATTTCTCCCGATCTCTCTCTCTCTCTCACACACACACACACACACACACACACACACACACACACACACACACACACACACACACACACACACACACACACACACACACACACACACACACACACACACACACACACACACACACACACACACACACACACACACACACACACTTTCCTGCTATTCCCCTCTCACCCCTCTCCCCCCGGAGGTTTTCCTCTCGTGTCTCTGAGTTGATTTAACGCTTGACTACTCTGCTTGTTTTTTTTCAACGCCTTCTTGTAAATCATCAATCCCCCCCCCCCCATCTGATCGCTGTCCACCCCGTTTGTGTCCCTGCCACCGGGTCTCATCTCTGACAACAGGCAGCTGAGGTAACAATTAAGAGGAACAACAAAATCTGCTAAAAGGTCATGGCCCTTGTGGCCGTTCCTCCCCCGCTGATCTCAATTAACCCCCACCGCTGAGTTGTAGGGGGTGAGGGTCGACCAGACCGGAGCGATGAGTCTGAGGTCATCCTGAAGAACACAAAAGAAGAGGCTGTGCAATCTTTGAGCAAAGCATCGACATCCACCTCTGGAATAATTCAGGAAGCTAAGTCTGACTCCGGCGATCGAAGAGCTTTTATCTGGGCTGATAAAGATCCATCGGGCCTGAGCAGCTGGCTGGAGACACGTCCACCAACCGTTTCTGAAGAGAGACGTGGCCTTCTGGCTGCTGGCAGGAAGCAGGGCCGAGCGTTTACACACCACCATGTTCAGGAGGACGCGATGTTTTCTTTGGAAGCAGAACAGTGCAGTAACAGTCACTGTTGGGTATTTTTATAATTGTACCTTTTTGAGGCCTAAAAGATGCCCATTTTGTGTTAATAACACTTCATGAATCTCTGTTTTTGCCAACTGTTGCTGTTCATGAAAGGTTGAGCAAGGATGTTGATTGTGGGTTTCCAACTGAAAACTGTACCTCTGTAACCTGAGAAGGCCCCGCCTTCTCCCCCATCCTTTGCTGAATAAAGCCCCTGGGAAACTGAGGAGACTTGGGAGTGACGGGGGAAAAGTCTCGGAGGAGGTTTTTCCCTGCGTTAACTCTCCATTATTTGGGGGACTCAGGGTAAAATGTCTTCCTTGTTGTCATGTGGGTTGATTTTAGGTTTCAGGGTTATTACCCCACATTTAATGACCTAACATCTTGGTGGAGGATGCAGGCATGCAGAGATGGTGAGCTGAAGGCTTTCCCCAGGAACAGAGGGGGGCTGGTTAGCTCCATGGACGGGGTTTCTGCGCCCAGCTCTCGCATGACGATTCATGGACATTACGAATAATCAATCTACTCTCTCTCTCTGTGTCATCCTTTAAGTTAATATGGGATAAATCTAAAATTACCTATCAGTCACCAGACATTCAAACTCAAACCAAGACACAGCCTGAACCTGAGATCCAATCTGGACCAACCGCAGCAGAAGCAAAAGACTTGTCTCTGCAGGTCGGTCTAGCCACGCTCCGCTGTAGCGTCATGAGATCTACCACTGGACCAGTTTCGGGTCAGGGCAATCACAGCGCTCTTTGGCTGTTAGATGTGCTTAGCACCAGAGCTGTGATGTGACAGCTCGCCGGGCTGCCGAATCTGAAATAATGAAGAGAACAGAAACAGGAAGAAAAAACCGACACTTATGACACGGCTCAGCAGAACACAAGATGAACGATGAACCCGCTCCAGTCCAGCAACTGTTCCCAGAGACTCAGACACCTGCAACTCTCACACCTTCACGGATGTGTCATCCTAAACACACGAGGCTAACCGCGCTGCTGCATGGCGAGGAAAAGACACAGAGGAAGTGACGCAGGACTCACTACGTCAGACGGACAGGAGGAACTCTTCATTGCACTGGTAAAAGACTCTGCTGGTAAAAGACGTGCACTCTAACTCTGCGAGGTTTCTGACTAAAATCATCTAAACATTTGAATTTTTTCTGAAACAGTCAGCAAAGTGGAGGGGAGGCCTTTATGAGCTCCTGGTCCATCTCAGTTTGTTTGCAGGGTGTGCTCCAGCTGTAGAAGCCTCTAGCGGTGGTGTGTGTGTGTGTGTGTGTGTGTGTGTGTGTGTGTGTGTGTGTGTGTGTGTGTGTGTGTGTGTGCGCGTGTGTGCGTGTGTGTGCGTGTGTGCGCGTACAGCTGCATCAGAGTACAGAGAAAGGGAGGTTCAAGAACCCATCACCTCTCTTTCCCTTTCTGCCCTCATCCTTTCATCCCATTCAGGTGTTTCTGCTCTGTGGCTACACCACCTCCTCCTCCACTTGCTCTCTATCTCCTCACCACATTTATCCTCTTCTCTTTTTTTCTTTCCCTTTTTGTGCATTCTTCCAGTTCCTTTACTTTTCTCCAGTCTCTTTCACCCACGGCGTATTTTTGTGAGCGTTTCCTGTTTAACTTCTTACACTTTACTCCGTCTCTTCCTGACCATCTAATCCACCCTGATTTAGTCACTATCACTTCCCTCCAACCTGTTGTTGCTAGTTTCCTTTGCTTACCTTACTTTTCTTCTTCTTTTCTTCAGCCTTTTGTATCTTTTTCCTGATTATCGTTAGTATTTTCCTATTTTCCTGTCTTGGGTTCCTCTTTGTCTTTTTACACCTTCCTGTTTGTCCCTTCCCTTGCTTCCTTCTCACCTCACCTTTCTTACCTGCTAACTTTCCTCCATGCTTTGCCTCCGTCTCTCTCTCTCTCTCTGCTCTGTCACTGGCACCAGTAGGATGGAAGTTAATTTCACACGTTCCTCAGGAATCGGAAAAGAACAAGGAAAAAAGTTAGCGTCGGCAAAAGATTTATAAAACACAGAAAATCAAGAGGCTGCGATTCTCTGCTGTTTGTGCTCTGGGGTCTGTTCTCGCTGTAGTGCGCTGTTTCTAAACCCGCACGACACACACACACACACACACACACACACACACACACACACACACACACACACACACACACACACACACACACACATACCCACAGGAGCTGTCAAATGATAAAGAGATGCTGTCAGGGACTGATTATCAGCCTCCAAACTAAAAACAAGTGAAACATCAAAAGCACAAAGACCACACGGGAACTCGGCCAGGTTTCGTTCTTTTCTTCCCTTCTCCTTCATTCGCCTCTCACTTTCTTTGTTTTTGCTTCTGTCAGTGTCAGGAGTAGCATGTTTCTTTTTGCCTGCTGGGGAGCAATTTGATTTGTTCTGCCATTTTACTTTAGAGCTCGTATTTGTTTCTGGTGTATTGTTTTTATTATGACGGCTTTATTCATATTGGTGCCTGTAGCAGCACGGATCCCGGTTCTGCATCACCTGGGAGTGCGACGCGGACAGTGAGAGAGCAATAAAGCCAGAAAGTGCTCAACTGACTCATAGCATCATGCAGCATGTGTGCAAATGTGTGTGTGCATGCATGTGTGTGAGGACAGGTGAAACACATCTAGGCGGATATGTAAGGTTTAATGGGTTTGTTGTTTCCGGACCATCTGGCTCGTCTGAGGCATGGGACTGTGCTCTTTAGCTGTTGGAAGTTGGCTTTAATCATATTCAGCAAGACTTAGTTTGCCAGGAGTTGTTCTTTCAACACTTAGCCATAACATTATGACCGCTTCATGATGCAAAAACAGCTCTGACCTGTGAGAAATAAACACAGTATCAGGGTGTCCCAGAGTGTCTGCCTGCAGGACACATCCTGGTCCTGATGAGGGAGTGGCATGTAGGGCGTTTGCCTTACATCCCGTTACATTTGGTTCTTTTCTGAGCCCACACGTGGTCCAGCTGGGAGCTGATTTAGTTCATCCACATAAATGTTGACACAAGGATTACATCAACGTCCACTATCACCTCTGTCAGTGCGCCCCAGGGCAGCTGTGGCTACATCGTAGCTCATCCCCACCAGTGTGTGAATGTGTGTGTGAATGGATGACTGATACACTGTAGTGTAAAGCGCTTTGGAGTCCTTACTCTGAGAGGCGCTATACAAGTGCGGATCATTTATCATTATCATAATCGTTTATAGGCACAAAAGCGGTCATTACGATGTGGCCGACCGCTGTTTTTGTTTGAAATAGTTTGGTAACACTCTTATAGTTTTCCTTGGATGCTAAACTCGTCAGCTTCAAGTAGCCAAACCTCTTGGGCCTTTTCTTGATATTTTTAATTTCAGTTTAATAAGTTACAGTTTTGTAGCACGACTTATCAAGCCAGCGATACAATACTGAAAAAAGCTAGTTAAGTGGTTACCATCACTGAATCTCCTTGCATAAAAACCCAAAAGACATTCTAAATAAACAAGAAATCATAAATAAAAGTAAGAAACATCATGCTATGTCTTTTTTGCTACCAATGAAATGTCCAATTTCTGTCTCAGATCTTTGCAGCAATTTAGCTCTTGGATTGCTAATACGTTAGCAAGACATAGCTTTAGTACATTAGCATTAGTGGATTGATTTATAAAAGGGAGGTTAACAAAAATGTCCACCAACACCCAAGCAGTCCGCAGACACGTTTGAGTGGATGTCTAGTACTGGAGACACTTTACACAAATAGAGACCTGCAGCAACAGAAGCTGCTGTCATGATGCTAGGTAGCATTGTTGCTTCATCACACTGGTAACGGTTTTGGATTTTATCATAATATTTTGTATTGTGTGAGCCTCTGATTGCTCCGTCATCAGAGCCTTTTGTGAATCTGTGTTTTAGTTTTACTTCTAAGCTACGTAAAGTGAACTCATGACAGCGGCTAGTGTTAGCCAGTAGCACTAAGACAGGTGGTGTTGCATGAAACACATGTTCAGGTGAGATGTGTGTGTGTGGACTGGTTGAGGTTAGCATGAGAACAACAACACTTCACTGATGCTACAGTCAGATCCAAGACGACAGAAATCAGAGGATGGCAAAAATATGTAGTCCATTAACAATCAGTCCACGGTTGCTGGCAGAGCCATTCCATGTAAGTGATAACATACAGTAGTCATGTGACATTCACGAACAAATCAAATCTTTTGAACGGGTTTTCAAAGTGAATGAGTCGAGTCCCTGTAGAGAGCCGTTCATGTTAACAAACCTCTCCGGAAGTCGGTCAAACTCACCCGCTCAAACCCCACCCACTGCTGTGACGGACGTAGGAGGAACCATAGATATGTATACAAACACGTGTTTATATACATATCTATGGGAGGAACGCTAACCAGCCCCGTGCGCCTTCACAGACACCGCAAGAAGACGTTGCTCTTGATACCCCCATCCCCCCACTCCCACCCCCAACCCCACCCGCTCTCTTGGCTTCAATTCATTCAACGGAGCCAGTCTTTTGAACGACTCTTTGAGGTAAACGACCGACTAATGAGCGGCTCCCATGAAAAAGCCATAAATCCCATCACTAACATACAGCGTGTGTGTGTGTGTGTGTGTGTGTGTGTGTGTGTGTGTGTGTGTGTGTGTGTGTGTGTGTGTGTGTGTGTGTGTGTGTGTGTGTGTGTGTGTGTGTGTGTGTGTGTGTGTGTGTTCTGCATGTACTGGTCTACACCCAGCTGAGAGCAGAAGTCAGGAGCAGAAGAAGCAACAGTACGGGTTTTTTAGAGTTGGCGGTGAGGGACTTGGCCCCCCCGTTCCCAGAGGAACCCAGGTTGGAGATGGTGGACTTTCCCAGATATGGCTGGATGACATCAAACTGGTCGTGTTTGTCCTCCTCTGCTTCAGCTGTTTCTGTCTGTTCCTCCTCTTCCTCACTTTCCACCTGTCAAGGAGAGGACACAGAGTTGAAGCTGCTGGGAGCATTGCCTGATATTTGGAGATCTTGCCCTGGATTGGTTAACAACAGCACAACTCTACCACTGACTCGGTTTGCTCTGATGTTTTATCTCCACAGACAACACAATCCAGGAGGACTTCTGTCGTGAGGTGAAGTTGCTAATGCTAATGGTTAGGTTAAACTAGCCGATACGTCTGCTACTGATTACCGGACGGTAAACCGGTAAACAGCCTTCCCCATCATGAGTCAAGATGGGTGAGTCCATGAATGTGGAAAGGATTTTCTAATCCTTCCTAATCCATCTATTTTCTATCAGAAGCTAATGCATGAGATAGGTGTAGGAGACTATTTTCACGTTCAGCCTCAGAAAAACCGAGACCAACTTTAATTAGAAAAAATTTTAAAAAGGTTTTTTCATTCAACCACGCCTTTAAAGCTTCTAATGGTCTTGCTCCTTCTGATATCTTGCATATCCTTCATTTTCACACTAAACCCAGAACACAACCCGATGCTTTCTGCTGTTCTCATGACATAATGCCTGGGTGCTAATGGTAAACACTGGGTCAGGGGCAAACATGCCAACTCAACATAGAAGGGCTTCAGCCAGGATTTGAACCAGCAACCATCTTGCTGCAAGGCAATAGTGCTACCCACTGCATCACCATGCAACAGTTGATAAATAAATGATTTTGTTGGGAGTCATGTGGGGAAGCTGGCACTAACCCAGACGTCTGCCTGGCAGGCGTCTCGTCCCACGGATCCAGATTGGGTTTAGGAGTCAAAGACTCTTTCTACCTCTTTCTACGACAAAGCCGTTTGTCGTCGGGCTGACTCAGAACCTTTTCTGAGTGCCTCTGCTCACCATGCACCTGTTTGTCTCACATGGTAGGGTTACCCTAACAAAGTATCCACAACAGTAAACTTGTTTTTAATCATTTTGATGTGATTCTGCAGGACCTAATTCTATGTTTTCAACTCTCTAGAGCAAAAACCAGAGAACTTCCTGCTGAGGATATGGGCGTAGCTCCGTTAAACGTGGTTTTATCTCACGGGCAGTTGGGCTTTTATTAATGCCTCAACGCCTTGAAAAGTTTTCTTTGCTGCAGCGATTAAACGTGTTGTTTTTGATCAACGTTTTGATGGTTATGAGTCAGTGTAGTGTTTGTGCTTGTTGTTAGTGATGAGAGCGACCGGCTGTTTATTTCTCATTGACATGCAAAAACATCTGGAGGAGCCGAAGGCACATGCTAGGTGTGCAGATTGTTGTGCTGCTAATTATATACCTGTCTGACATTGTCATGGAAATACCGCCTCCAAGCGTGGTTTGCTTTATGCCAGGATTGTTTGTTTGCGCTATTTCACTCATATTAACTTTTTATTGTCTCCTCTGACAGTTTGTAAGAGTTTTGGCTTCAGGGTGCAGGATCATGGTGTAGTTCCTCCTAAACTCCAGAAGCTTTAGATTCTGTGGTATGAACTTCAGAAGACTGGCTATAAAAACCGTAAAGAAACAGCTGTTTTGTGTGTTTCTAAGTCTATATTTATGGATTTAGTTTGCATATTTGATTAAGAGTTACAGCCTTAATCTGTCTTTGAGCTTCTGCTTTCAATTTTTGAAGATCTTTAAGCCACCCCCCTACCACATTCTGTATATATTGCATCAAAACACTTTGTAGAAAGATTAACTTTTACAACTGAAAGAAGCCTCGGCACCTTTAACAGACCTGTTTATAACTGAAGCAGACAGAAAGCTTTCCGAAGGGAAACATTTCACACTCACGGGGGGAAAATCAATTTAGGGAAACAAGCAAAAGCTCCTGGAAGAGACAAAACCAGTAGCTGAGTGACAGACAGGTGAGGAGATGAATTGTAGGCAAGTCCTCATGAAGGAAGGAAGGAAGGAAGGAAGGAAGGAAGGAAGGGAAGGAAGGAAGGAAGGGAAGGAAGGAAGGAAGGAAGGAAGGAAGGAAGGAAGGAAGGAAGGAAGGAAGGAAGGAAGGAAGGAAGGAAGGAAGGAAGAAAGGAAGGAAGGAAGAGCTTTAGGGGAAGATGAAGAAACCGGTGGGAAACATATGGGCATGAATAAATTTGTACTAATGAATTCCTTCCATGCAACACTTGGTCTAATCTGTTCTCTGGGAGAGAGACATAGTCAGACAGAGAGAGAGAGAGAATTAGACAAATCAGAGGGGAGTTGGAATCCCCTTTTGTTTGCAAGCCCAGATTTTTCTGGGGTCTGGCCCGGGATCCAGCTGCCAGAAGCGGGACTGGGTTTTATAGCTGAAGTAAGAAAAAGGGCCAGTGTTTGTGTCCACATCACTTCCTGAATGCCTACACACTCAGATACCTTTTAAGGCTCAGGTCTCATCTGTCTGCTGGAGACTGGCTGTAATTGCTGAACAACCAGAAACTCAAACCACCAACAGCTGAGGTGTGATGGAGGAGAAGAAAAACTCACATCGTTGCTGAGTTCGTGCACATGATTCCTGATGAGAGGCTTGTCTTCCTGAACCAGGGGAGAAGGTCTGGGACCTGGTGGTTGGGTTGGATCTGAGGGTAGAGAGCCAGAACCTCCCATCCAGGTGATAGAATTACCTGCATGGAGACACAGCTCACACGTCTAAGCCTGGGTGGTAAAGTGGCATGAGAATACCATTTTTTTACAGTTGGACACAGTGCTTTGAGCCTCTATATAGCTTATGAAACTTTGTTGCTGCTCACAACTGTCCCAGAATCCCTCATAAGTGGCCTACATCAAATCCATACATTAGAAGTTAGTGTCCTTTGAAGTGATTGTCTCACTGCTTGTGAAGTGGGGATGCGTTGAGAAAGTTAGCGTCAGACGTGACTGTTCTGAGGGTTGTGGGGGCGGTGGCTTGCTGACGAACAAACAAATGTCCCAGTAGGCCTTGAACGTGAGCGCTTCATCAGTCTTCTTTGTTTTCCTCCATCCACAAGGACGTTATCTTCTCAGGGTTAGCAGTAGTTCGACCTAGCATTAGCAACTCAGGCTTGTGTTAGCAGTAGTTTGGCCTAGCTGTTCTGCGGTTAGCATTACCGTGACCAGCGTTAGGAAAGTAACTTTAAAAAAGTAATTAGTTATAGTTACTAATAATTTTGTCAAAAAAGTCACTCAGTTACTAACTGAGTTACGATATTATAAAAGTAACTAATTACCAGGAAAAGTAACTACTTAGTTACTTTTTTCATTAAAGAATGCAAGAAAAATGGGTTAATTAAACTTATTTAATTTACTATAAATGACTACAATAGTGAAATATAAATGACTATTGACTGGAACATAATAAAATGTATGTCCAAATGTTTTTTTATCAACCTGAATAATTTAAATGAATAAGCACTTAACAGGAGGAACTACTAACAGGAGCATTACCTCCCACCTCCTCCGCTTGGCGTTTCCTGAACATGTATGAATTTGGCCCTCTTTTATGTTTATTTTTTCTCACAGTTTTCATTGGTTCACTTTTTCCCTTGTTTTACACATTTGTCTTCTACTAGAATGTTTCACCTTTCTTGTAATCTGTAATCTGTAATTTGAATTGCTTTTATTTTCTGATTTATTCACTTTCTTTAACTTTGTACTGTACCATGTTCAGCGCCTTGTGCTTCCTGACAGGGTTGCGGAAGGCGCTTTATAAATAAAGCTTTGATTGATTGATTGAACAGGAGCATTGCACTTATCTAGACTATTAAAAGGTCACTGTGTGATATTTAACAAGACCCCAATCAGCTAAAATTAAAAATTGCAAATGGAAACACCTGTAAAGGTTCCCGAGCCTTTAAATAGTCTCTCAGTCTAGTTAAATTACAGAAATGAATGTACTTTTTTACAGTATTTTAATTTTTCCAGCTTCACATAATTGTGTGTATTAGTAGCATTTCTGTTGCTGCTAATCTAGTAACGGTTAAGTAAATAAATAAAATCCTTTAAAACGACACGAGAAGAGGCACAAGCCTGATGGAGGACTTACATTTACTAACTTGGGACAGACCCAACCACAGAAGAGCTGAAGCTGGGTGGTAAACACACACAGGTAGTTCTAATAACACCTGAGCTCCATGACGTGTGAGACTGATGCATCAGTGTTACAGCGGGACTAAAGACATGATCAGAAACAGGTTACAGCTGGATGATCTAGGAAGGTAGAAGATCAGGACGTCTGAGCGGTGAACAGGTGAGCGGACCTTCGGGACGTCCCGCTGTCACGCTAAGAAGGGCATGGCTGCAGATCCACACCTGCAGCCGTAGACTATTCATCACGTCTTCCTCGTTCTTCACGGCCGTGATGCTCTTGGATGAAAACATCTGCCTCTTTAGCTCCTGATCAGCTGATGACAGCTTCAACACACCGCGCTGCTTAACGCACGCATTTCCTTATCAGTAACAGAAATGACGTTTTGTTAAAAAGAAGACGGTAATTAATTAGTTTCCTTGTTACTGAAAGAAATATATTTTTTTTATTAACGTGGTTATTTTAAACGGCGTTATTCCCATCACTGCTCTGTTGGGTCTACAGCAGGCAGCAACTGAGACGGTGAGGGTCTCCGCCCACCCGGCCAATCATCATCGTGTTTGTAAGTGTGTTACCGACACCTCTCTCTCCCTGGCTGCAGCTGAAGTGTGGCGGTCAGAAAGCCTCTCACTGTTGCTCAACATTCGACAAGCACATAGTAACGCACAACCTTCCGTCCCCAGTAACGGTAACGGCGTTGCAACAGTGGGAAAAGTAATTCATTAGATTATTCCATTACCCAAGAAAAGAACGTCGTTAGTAACGCCGTTATATTTAAACGGCGTTACTCCCATCACTGACTGTGACCAGTGTTTATATCTTCCTGATGCTGAAGTGGGTTGGGACATGCAGCTGTAAGGAGGTGTGGCCTAAACCAAATTTTCTTAGAATGTACATTTTCTCCATTTTCCTTTAAAGATGGCTGATTTAAATAAAAAGCAGCTCAGACACGTCTGACCTGCTGATATGCTACATTTGACCAGCCAAGCTGCCTTTATTCAGCTACAAGGACTATGTGACTTTACATTCTACTGCCCCTTTAAACACCAGCGTGTCCTGTTCTAGTGCTATCCTACTGGTGCCAGTGGTCCGTGTGGTAATTACTATGTCTGTAAGGTGCTGGCTGAGGGTGAAGCATGACTAAAGGTTAGTTTTAAGGTCAGGTGTGTGTGTGAACCACTATGGCTGACAGGTTTATTGTTAGTCTTAATAGGTCTTCATGTTTTATGGGACACTTTGACACATCGATCCAGGTTTCAGCGTTCGGACAGTGCAGTATTGACAGCTGTGGTGAATGAGTGACAGCTGGAAAACACCCCGTTTCTACTCTGATCTTTGACCCTATTGTCTCTGTGAGTTACTTTAATGTGACCCATGGGGTTTCAAATGTAAATTTACTTGTCAAGAAACAAGACTGCGCCTAAGTGGAACACTCTTCTTGGGTTAGGGTTATTCCAGCTATCGAGGGCGATGTGAGTGGACAGTCTCGTCTGAGGTGGGGAGTTTGGGAGTACCGGTGCAGACTTACGCAGGCAGATGTTGTGTGTGAAAAGATGCTGAAGTCTCAGACACTCCTGCCACTGGTTGCCGCTGCCTTCACAGTTGCACCACAACGACACGTCAGCAGAGCTGTTGCTGACGTAGTTGGGCGTCATCATGGTACCTGCAGGTAAAAGGGGTCAAAGGGCTTAGGCAGAGGAAGAAAGTAACTATAGCTACTTAGTCCTAGCTTTGTCATTGAGTTGGATGATCTAGAAGTTTGAAACTCTGGCTAAGGACCATTAACAAATACAGGAACTCTTGCTTACCAACATCAATATGAGGTCACTACATGCTAACAGTGTAAAATACAAATTTGGACATATTTGGTCATTCAAGGTATTCCATAAAAAACATTGGCTTGAAGATAATCTGCAAAACTTTTGTTGGAAACCTAACCTGACCCGCTGACTCAGATTTTCCCTTCCTTTGCATTAAGATCCCTAACATCAGAGAATGTTGAAAAGTAAGGAAAACACAATGTCTACACCGACGTAACCCAGACGTCCCTGTGTCGGCTGCTGTTTCCTTCCCTCCCACCTTAGGGCCGTGTACCTATGAGTCCGGCGTAGGCTCGGAGACAAAGGCCCGTTGAGTCTTTCAAACATCCGCTGGCCTTGTGATGAGATGGGTAGCAGTTACTGAGAAAATCAGCCAGTCTGGATCTGGAAACAACAACACATCAGGTGAACTCCTTATTACCACTGTTGTCAGTCTGGATCTGCGCTCCTGGCTGTTGCACCGCTCATGTTGGCAGGCTCTGATTGTTTATCTTTATTGTATTTGTTATATGCTGGAATCATCTGGGCTCCAGAGAAACATTCAGGAGGAAATCAATGCTTAAAAAGTCTCAACATTCACACGTGCAGCGCATTTCTTCACCGTGTGTTTATCCTCATTCACTCACAGGCCAATGGAAATGTTTCTTTGCTGCATTACACATACAAGAACAAAAGAAAGTGAGTTCTTCTCCCTTGTTTTCTGGTTCTAGAACACTTATCTAGAACAAACTAGACCCATCAAACACGACTTTATTACAACCCTGTCCCTGGAGCCAGGTAATAAATCAGCACTGTCTGTCCTCGTGGCATCTTGGTTAAAGTACATAAGAGTTCACCTCACAGGTACCTTGGCTTCACTTTGCCACTCACGTCTGGCAAACAATTTGGGATTTTTGGCTGTTTGACGCAAGGTAGAATTCCTGAGCATACCCTGCTGGATCTGCTCACGCCTGTCTACATGCACACTGAAGAGAATCTGAGAAGCAAAGTGAAATGATACCGTTCAGCTTCTGTTTTACCTGCACAGGTCATCTCGGCGGCAAAAGCTCTGCTGGTGGAGGCAGTTTGGCTGCTGACCCTCCGCATCCTGGTAGGAGCAGGACGGAACGATGGTTTTTCTCCGCCTCTCTCCACACAGAGTGTTGGAGCAGGGGCAGAACAGAACACCCAGGCTGTACTCTTCAGGTACCCGCTCCAGAAAGCGCTTTAGAGCCCGGTGGCACTTGTACTGGTTACATCGGCTGGTCCCAGGGAGTGGCTTGGTGCAGGCCAGGACATACTCAGAGCGCAGAGAGCCACACTTCTCGTAAAGGCCGCAATCCTGCGCTGCCTTCAGGCACTGGTTCTCACCATCCGGTTGCATGAAGGACGAAGCTAGAGGAGAGGATGTGGAGAGACGGGTATGGCAAGCCAAATGAGCATTTATTCTGATATCAGGATATCAGCCAGAATTGTCATGAACATGTAAGCCATTTCTGTCCACTAGTTAACTAGTTAGCCATGTTTGTGTCAACTAGTTAAATAGTGACAGCCTAAATGTCAACTAGTTAACTAGTAAGGCCTAAATTCTCTCTAGTTAACTAGTTAAAATGTTTCATATCTTACTAGTTAACTAGTATTGCTCAGTGTGTTCACTAGTTAACTAGTGGACAGATCAATGCCCACCAGTTAACTAGTTAAAACACATTTAGTTTTTACTAGTCAACTAGTAAGGTACAAAAACTCGTACTAGCTGACTACTGAATGTAAAAATCCCACTTGTTAACTTTGCCCAATTTGGCCAGCCGCTTGAGCATTAATTCTGATATCTTGTCAACAGGTCAACTAGTTAACTAGTGAGGGTCAAACTGTACACGCTAGTTAACTAGTGAACACATTTTGACCTTCACTAGTTAACTAGTTGACACAAAAATGGCTCATTAGTTAACTAGTAAAGGCCAAAATGCATACCAGTCAGATAGTTGAAGGTATTTGTGTCTCACTAGTTAACTAGTCAGGGTCAAAATGAGCCCACCAGTTAACTAGTGGGAGACGGAAATGTTCACTAGTTAACTAGTGAACACATTTTGGCTTCACTAGTTAACTAGGTGACACAAAATGGCTCACTAGTTAACTAGTAAAGGCCAAAATGCATACCAGTCAGCTAGTTGAAGGTTTTTGTGTCTCACTAGTTAACTAGTGATGGCCAAAATGTGCACACCAGTTAACTAGTGACAGAAGAAATGCCCACTAGTTGACTAGTGAACACATTTTGGCTTCCTAGTTAACTAGGTGACACAAAAATGGCTCACTAGTTAACTAGTAAGGGCTAAAATGCATACCAGTCAGCTAGTTGAAGGTTTTTGTGTCTCACTAGTTAACTAGTGACAGTTCAAAGTGTCCACATGTTCACTGGTGAAGGCAAAACTCCTAACTAGTTAAGTAGTTGGAGTAGGGCAGTGCCACTAGTTAACTAGTGAACCATTAATGACTCACTAGCTAGCTAGTTGATTGTAACAGGCTCACTAGTTACCTAGTTGATGCATCCATTGTCCAAACTAGTTAACTAGTGAGGACATAAATGTATACTAGTAAACTAGTTCAAGCCTACATTCACACTAGCTAGCTAGTTGCACAGAATTCTAATTAGGAGGCAGAGAATTTCTCAAATTGAGGCTTTCTATTGGCTCACTATGTTAAAATAAAATATGACAACCAATCACAGTGCGGAATTTTGCAAAATCCCACCCCAAACATTTGCATGCGGCACACAAGTTAACATGCTGGCCAGAGGAACCTCAGCTAGTAAACTAGTAGTGGCTTCAGTGTGACACTTACATGTAAACTTGTGAAGGCGGAACTGCTCACTAGTTAACTAGAGAGGGTACAAATGTCCACTAGTTAACTAGTGAGGTGCAAAATAAGTGTCACTAGTTCACTAGTGGGCCCCAAAACGCCCACAAGTTAACTAGTAAGGTGTGGATATGCTCACTAGTTAACTAGTGAGGTGCAGATTTGCTCACTAGTTAACTAGTGCACCCTTAAGCGCCCACTAGTTAACTAGTAAGGTGCAAAAAAGCATCACTAGTTAACTAGTAAGGTGCAGATATGCGCACTAGTTAACTAGTGGGCCCCAAAACGCCAACTAGTTAACTAGTAGGGTGCGGATTTGCTCACTAGTTAACTAGTGAGGCGCAGATATGCTCACTAGTTAACTAGTGACGTGCGGATTTGCTTACTAGTTAACTAGTGAGGCGCAGATATGCTCACTAGTTAACTAGTGAGGTGCGGATTTGCTCACTAGTTAACTAGTGAGGTGCGGATTTGCTCACTAGTTAACTAGTGAGGTGCAGATTTGCTCACTAGTTAACTAGTGAGGTGCGGATTTGCTCACTAGTTAACTAGTGAGGTGCGGATTTGCTCACTAGTTAACTAGTGAGGTGCAGATATGCTCACTAGTTAACTAGTGAGCATATCTGCACCTCACTAGTACCTCACTAGTTAACTAGTGAGCATATCTGCACCTCATTAGTTAACTAGTGAGGTGCGGATTTGCTCACTAGTTAACTAGTTGCATCTAAAAACACATACAAGCTGACCATTTTTGTCCACTAGTTAACTAGTGGAACAATTGAAATTTCACCAGTTTACATGTGTGGCAGTGCAGCAGCTCACTAGTTAACTAGTGCCTGAAACACAAATTATGCATATTCTAATGAGAAGGCGGGCAGAAGACTCCTGTTGGGTATAAGAATCCCACCCAGTCTAAAACGTATGTGCTGTGGCCTCACAATCTGATGGGTGTCCCTGAGCGCCAAGGCTTGCACTCATTAGTCATGGTTTGACACCTACTGGTTGGTCGTTGCGGTGGGTTCGAATCCCGCAGATGGCATTCCGCAATTGCTGTAACATTATTTATTTTCTCTTTGTGTTGTAATGATCAAAGTTTTATTGTTTTACTGCTTTTATTCCCCCCTCCCAAATCAAGTAAAGCACCTCGTTTGGTGTCGTGTAAGGGAGATCAGTTGGCGAGTTCAAGTCCCATTGAGGAGAATTGGAATTTAGTGTGCCAGTAATTTTATTGTAGTTCATTTTTGTTTGGTATTGAAAGTTTGGTATTGAAAAAGGCTATATTAAAAATAATTATTGATATATATATATATATATATATATATATATATATCTCCATCCATCCATCCATCTTCCCAAGAAATAGATCAAATGACACTGAGGGAAAAAACTGTGGTTATTTTGGAGAGGGTGCTGGCTGCAAAACCACAAAGGCGGAGCTGCACCCCGCCCATTCACGCAAACTCAGCCTAGCCCACTGACTTCCGTTTTTGTTTTCAACTTTATCGCAAACTGACCTGACCCACATGAATTACGGCTGTTACTAGTTTACAGTCGTTAATGCTATGTTCTATACTCCAATTAAACAAGATAAATATAACTTGCTACATGACAAAGACTGAATATATCTCGAAATGAAAAGGTTTCTTTTAGCGAATATCTGCCTACAGCTGGTCTAATAAAAGTGGTGTACAACAGCACTTCAGTCTATCGAACGGCCTCTGGTAGTCTAGTGGTAAAATCGTCTGAGTTGGTTTTTGCTTTCCCCTCAGCTGATGCTGGTTCGATTCTCGGCGGGGTCATCAGCAGTCTATTTAGCCACATTCAATTTGTTTATTAGGCCCGAGCAGCGAAAGCGCTGCGAAGGCCTCTTGTTTTTGCTCTGATTATTAGGCCCGAGCAGTGAAGCTGCGAAGGCCTATTGTATCTGCTCCGTTTCTTCTTCTTATTAGGCCCGAGCAGTGAAGCTGCGAAGGCCTATTGTATCTGCTCCGTTTATTATTACGCTTTCTTTCTTTTTTCTTCCGCGTCTTTGACTGGCCTTTAGGGGGTCTTAGCATATCCAAAAAGTCACCAAATTCTGGCCCAATATAGAAAGTGCGTGAAATTTACGTATTTCACTGGCGATGTGAAAGTTCATAAAAAAATGGCTGAACAGCGCCCCCTAGAAAGTGAAAAATACCCCTCTCCATAAAGCTTAGTTTATCGTACAGTTATGAAATTTGGTACACTTGTAGAACTCAACAATATGCACAGAAAAGCCTCTTGCATCCATGGTCAATATCAAACAGGAAGTCGGCCATTTTGGACTAAAGTGGCCATTTTGACCCTGTTTCGGCCATTTCTTGGGTCTATATTTGGTTGAACAGTTTGGTCATTTTTCGCACGATCGTCTCAAAAATAGTGTGCGATCGAACAGAAGCGACGGACGATTAAAATGAGACAATAAAATTGACTTTTCGTAAATACTGAAGGGGCGGGACCAGGCCTCAAAGTTCGAGCACTCGCCAAAAAAATTCAAATTGCTATAATTTCATAAATGAAAGAATTACAGATAAAGTAACTTTCTATGGACAATCATCATCGCCCCCCGAAGACAAATGAATGGTCGATTGATGATGTCACATAAGCCCCGCCCCTTCAGGACTTAAAAGGTCAAGTTTTACTAGGAAATTTTCCAAAATTCGCCCTTTCGAATAATCATCCTAAATTTGTATCAGGTAACTGAAGACAAGTTGGGGTTGCTTGGCGTCACTTTATGGGAGTTTTCTGGAGAAGGCGGGGCTGTGGCGGCGCGGCGAACTCAGGCGTACCGCTTAGGCCTTACGTTTGCCTCCCATTTCGTCATTTCTAGAGATATCGCCACGAAACTTCTTGTGAGTGATCCTAGTCCGGCCCCCAAAAAAATCTGATGTGAAATTCCGGTGGGCGTGGTCTATTTTCTGAAATAGCGCCCCCTAGGACCATTAAAACTGACAGCCCCAAGCCATGCTTTGACTGAGGATTACGAAATGTGGTACACTAATGTGGTGTCTCAGGACCTACAAAAAAGTCTCTTGGAGCCAAGTGCAAAGTCGCACAGGAAGTCGGCCATTTTGGTCCAAGTGCGCGATTTAGTGGTTTTCGCACACGTTGTTTGGAGAGTGATGCTCCATCGCCCTTTTCACCAATCGCCTTCACACTTCTGCTATATACTCTTAAGACATAGATGAAAAAATTCAACCGTCGGATTTTAAATAAGTATAGAGGTGTGGGCGTGGCTAAGCCTCAAACTCTGACCTGTCGCCACGCCACTCTTTTTTTCACAGCTCCCTATTGGACTCCTTTTATCCAATCACCACCAAACAGTGGCAAATAGCAGCAGACAAGTTAAGGTCACTTGGTCTATAGTACTGGCAGGTTTCGAATAAAGGCGGAGCTTTGGGAGCATGGCGAAATTCACCATCACGCCATGGAAATACGTTTGTCTCTCATTTCTTCAATCATTGTGACATTGCCACACAATTTCTGATGAGTGATCCTACTCTGACCCCTAATATAACTGG